ATTTGCTTCTTAAACATAGATTCCAAGACATGTTATTTCTTGATTTTTGCTCATAAACGCAAACTCCGAAAACTTAAATCCAGTTAAATAGATTCTCCATACATCTCATTGTAGAATTTCTTATGAAGGCTCAAATCAATGTTGGTCTGTTCCTGATCATTTTTATGATGTGGCTATCAATAATATATTTTTATCATTTCCGAAAAAAGATCTAAGTACTTAATTAATGTACCAAAAAATTTGATAACTAAGTAATTACATGGATACTTAATCTCTCCAATCTTCAAAATTCCAGGTATGAAAGATTAATTCATCGCTCAATTGAACTCAGGAACGTCCAATTATCTCCACTAGAGTGGACTTCAGTTGCTTGGTTCCTAGGACTGTTTCTTGCAGCACCAGTCCTCAGCATGTTCTCCATCCACCTTGATCATGGCCAAAACCAGCAATTGATAGCCGGGGCAGCCACAGCAGTTGGAGCTCTCTTCTGCCTTCCTGTTGGATTTTTCAACACAAGATGGATCTTTCCACCATACGTAGCTGTCATAGTCGTTGCTAGCACCATTGGCACCACCTTCCACGCTCGCCACCTTGGCCTAATGGTGTGTGGATTCGTCGGTTCCACCATAAGAAAAAGCCAATTTCCTAACAGAAAAGCTGTCGCTGGATTGCTTTCAGTTTATTCCACTGCTTCTGGCTGCCTAGGTGCTGCTGTTATCTCTGCCTTCATATATTACATGCTCCGAAAATCGGATATTCTCACTACTTTGTGGGTTGTTTCCATCTTCAGTGGCATAATCTGGCTTTCTGGCACAGCCCAGATCTTTATTACCACTAGAACAAATTCGACAACAAATTCATCAACAAGTTCCATCCCAAAAACCCATGTCGTATCGATTTTCAAGTACCCTCATGCAGCAGGAAGTATAGTTGGGGTTTTCCTTTCATCATTCACAACAATGTGCATTTTCACAGGAGCTTTGCTTTATTCCATTGGCGATCTTTGCCTCGAAGGAAAAAACATACTCTTTCTTTGGATGATATATTTTGTGTTCCCCTTGCTTTCTCTTCCGTTATCGCATCAATTGCAGCAATTGATAAGGGCTGATGCAGTGAAAATGCAGCTTCTGGGGCTTCTTCTATCAACAGCAACTTCAGGATTTGGATTTTATTTTCGCCACGAAATTTGGAAGACCCCCCATTTGCTACTATTTTCTGCTGTCCACGGCACTTCCACAGGCTTGCTATATGCTTTTGGGAGGGTACTTCTGTTGGATTGTTCTCCAGCAGGGAAAGAAGGGGCATTTTCTGCATGGTTTTCATGGGTGAGAGCTTTAGGGATTTGGGCTGGTTTTGCACTTGCATCAGCAATCCCTGGAAATGTGCAAAGATCTTTTGGGATATCATTTTGCACTGCAATTGTTGCAACTGTTGTATTGATCTTTGGAAACATTGATAATTTTAGAGGAGCAAAAGCTGCTGGACATATTATCGATCAACATAGCCAGCAGGGTTCACCAGTGCATGGCTTGGACTCTGGTGGTGTTGAAGAGAAGAATTCTATGATCGAAGAGGCATCCCATGAAGAAAAGCTAGAAGTTTGATTTTTTATTTGATTTGATTTGATTTTTTGGTTTTTGTCTTGGTTTAGAAATTAAAAATTTGTGTAGATGTTAAATACTCCAAAAAATTTTTTTGTTAACCATCAAAATTCAAGCACAAAGACACTAATAATTTATCTTGTTCTTGTGTTTTCCGGAGTATGAAATTGACGTAATTCAGCAGACTTGCAATTGAAAGTTGTATTCTTTTGCTTGTTCCGCCCATTGTCAGAATTGGTTCTTTTAGATTATCTTCTAGTTCTTAACTTATTATCTTTTTAACTTGCATAACTAGAAGTTTTTGAAGAAAACTCAAAACAAGTTTTGAAAATTTTCTCGTCAATTAACAGAATCACTCCAAGATTGTAAGGAGACTAAAATGTCACACATTCATATTCTAAGAATTTTCAGCCGTATAAAATCTTAGGTCACTTTTCTCATTGCTAATTGATTTTAAAATATAAGCACAAGTTTTTCATCATAGTATCAGAGTTAGGTGTTGGGTTTATTTATTATCCCATTTATAGTTTCACCCATGAATTGATTCTTTCTCTATTAGTGTAAACAAATTTGCCAAGTCATATAAAATATGATATAACATGATATATCAAGAATTTCCAGCCATATAAAACATTAGTACACCTACAAAAACCGATTGAAAATTCCTATAATTGAAGAAATGAGTCATCTTTTAGTTTGTTTTCGTCAGACATCTACCGCATAATTGATAAGAATTTGTAGAATTACAAAAACCAATATATACTTGACCTCAATAATTTTTGTAGTAGTCCACAGGAAGCAAAAACTCATGATTCCTCCCACAGAATTGGTCTAGTGGTAGCAGCGGTCCTTGGGATACAAAAGATCCCGAAATCGAAACTGCTCGTTGGAGCACTCTATGACTCGCCAGGGAAAACATTGCGTGGGGCTACAGCATTTCCCTCCCGTTTGGTGTGCCGACTCGAGTCCAAAGGGTTCGGGTCGGTATATGTTCTGTGTTACCCAAAAAAAAAAAATTCATGAGCCATAAATGATTCGATAATACAATCGATGTTTATGTCCAAATTCATTAACCTATGTTTGGTTACTATAACTTGCAAACAAACCTTTCAAATATTATTATTCAGTTTACATTATAAACACAAATTTCAATTATCTTTTTATTTCATATACATTACATTGCAAAAAATGTTATAGTATTCTTTCAAATAAATTTTTTCCAAACAATCTCCTATCCAAACTTGTGATGTGAACATTTTGGTCAAAGAGATCAAAATATTACTTATAATAGATTGAAAATGGATGTCTTTGACAAAGAAGTAGAAACCAATGCTCGAGAAAGTTGCTAAACATCCACAAGGACCAGAACCAGTCAAAGGTGCTACAACTATTATTTGACTTGGTTCAGCTGCCAACTTTGCTAATTACAAACAATTCACATCTGGAGCAGTACATGTACTTCCCAACGGTTTTCTAGCAGGAAAATGCGACCGAAAATCTAGTCCTTCGGGCTTGTAATAGTTCTTAGAAATTTTTGGGCAAAAAGATGACTCAATAAGAGGGAAAAGTTGTGCTAGGCTGTCTCTATCAAGTCTTGAATAGCAATCCGCTAGGAAATTATGCAATGTTGACCATTTCTATGTCATGAAAGATATCGAACGACTTCAGTTTTTCGGCTGATTCTTTGCCCCTTGAATTTCGAATTCTTGAAGTTCTTATGTCCACTAATTTCATGAGCGAAACATATCACCATGGATAAATAAATACCATTGTTTCAATTTTCACCTTAAGTAAATCCCTTTTTTTGGGTTTTGAATAAATCGTTTTCTTCTCTTTGGAATTCATAATCTCTCCCCAGCAGGAGTCTCTCCAACTCCCTGTTATTGATTTTGAAGATCAATCAAGGAAGTCTTCTAAGATTCCTTTTGTCCTTGAAGTCTAAGAAGCTAACAAGAGGGCCTTGCTGAACCCAAAAGAAGTAGGAGGCTCAAAGGAAATACAGTTGAAAATGGCATTCGAGAAAGCTTTAAAGCCAATTTCTAAGTCCTCCATTCCCTCCAAGAAGAGGTACGTAGATTCTATGCTGCATGCATTTCATTACATTTGGAAAAGGAGATTTCTAAAATTTCGAAATTCATAGTTGGAGTTGAGAACTACCCCGGAAATGTATTTCAATAATATATTGGGATGATCATATGCTAGGACAGTAATTAATTTGCAACAAAAACATACAAAGACAAAGAACCCTAAAAAAAAAATTTTTTTTTTGCACGTCACCGTGAATTGGTAGAGGAATTAGTTTATATTTTTTTTCCTCAAAAGGTGCATCAACGGCATTTTTTTAATACACACAACTCATTATTTACACACACTCATATTTATTGTCCCCGATATATAGTTACTTTTCCGATTTAATTTTACTTTTCTAAAAAGTTAGAATATGATAATTTCTTAGAACCGATTTGACACTCGTTAGATAAACCCATTCAACGTGAACACAGTCCTATTGTACTCATTCCTCAAGAATTTATCATTTGTCAGGTGTAATGGAGCATCATCATTCAACATTTGCGCCATGGCTAGTGTCCTCTTGGAATTGGCTTTCCTTCAGCTCATTGCATCTCTCCTGATCCTGCCAAGCCCATCTGAGGCATTTTATCGGGAGCCAAAGAGAGTTAAACTAACCAACAATCACACGAACATTTTGACAGTTAGGTGCTTTTCATTCTACGAAACTGAAACCACCGAACGAAGGCATTTAAAGCCTAAAGAATGGTTCAACTTCACAGTCCAACCTAATAAACTCTTCCCTTCCATGTCCATGTACAACTGCTCCACCAATATGGGGGTGTTTGTAGCTTACAGTTATGACTACGAGTGCGCCACAGGAGATTACCCGACTTGTGACTGGAGGTTTGATGAAAATCGAACGTACCATTTCATTCATAAGACAAATACATGGGTAGCGTATGATTACAATCCTAATTATGAGTCTCTTGGAAGAGGGGGTGTTGTAAGAGGTTTCTTTACTAATTGAGAATGTTTAGTTGAAAAGGGGCAAAAAAAAAAAAAAAAAAAAAGCAACATACACTAGCTAATAACAAGAAAATTTGCGGCCCTTTTCGAGGAGTATTTCGTAAATTACGTTTAAGTAATTTATGGAATTCAGTTATGAGATATTTTAACTAGATGATTAGTCTAGGTCTAGGAATAATGTAACTCAATTTGTTGGAGGTACAAGTGTGTGGTTTTTAGTCCTTTTAGTCAGTGTTGCTCAATGAATAGAGAGCTTCAAGTCCACAGGTAGTGAGCGGAGCAAGGATTTACCCGCTTGAGCTCATGTTGTAATCTCCTTCAATGGACAAAAGAATGCTTCTACATAATATAAGCATGTCAACATTTGCCTAATGATCGAATGAAATTTACTTTTCTAGCCGCAGCATTTCTTGTACTGAAACAATAATGTTACATGCTACAGAACGAATACTGCATGCGCCCTATTGTTCTATTGAGAATTGAGAGTATTGATGTGCATAGAATACAGGGTGGAAACTTAGACTTTCTGGTAGTTTAGTAGCAACTACCATCGGTTAATTTTTTTTTATTCCCTTTTCTTTGTTTGTGTTCTAATTTCTCCATGAATTTTGCTGCTCAAGTGTCCTCCAACCTTGACAGACCTACTCATGCCAAGTCCCTACTGTACAGTGAAGAACTGGTATACCTTCAATCATACCAGCAATCTTGCTCTTTTAGTGATTGCAATAAGACTGCATAATCAAGACCAAACATTAATAGAGTTGCTTAATTCTAAGGTTTCATCCAGAAAGCTACTAGTCTATTATTTGATATTTCATTGCCAAAGGGATTTTTCAATCCAGATTGGTTGTGTAATAGCCTGTTATCGTTCAAGTTAATGTGCGGTAATTAAAAGAATGGGCCGCAGAAAATCCCTAGAAAAATGTTTTTCACCAGAGTTCTATTCTAAAAAATGAGTTACAGAACAAATAAAAACAAGCTCTGACAAATGCCTTTTTTCAAGCAAAAACAGTAGCAGCCGTGAGGTCAATAGTTCATCCAGAAAAGTTGAGCTTCTTCATCACTTTTGCATAAGCCAATGGGACAGTACCAGGACGTCTAAGCCTGCGCCTTGCTTTCTTAGACTGCATAAATAATGATCATATTAACCTCACACAGTATCAATCCTAGTTAACTGTTCCTAACCGCCAAAGTCTTGCAAGTATGGTCAAGAGAGGGGAAAAAATTATTCGGCGCTAAAAAAAAACGTCTAGAGAAAAGCACCCAAAGAATCTTCAGCACACGACACAATACTCCATATTTGTAGTTTAGAAGTGGAGAAAGAGGCAAAAATTAACACAGTGATATCCCTTTCGTGCGGTAAGAGTAATACTGACAGCATTTTCCACATAAAGCAGTACTTCAAAAAATAATAATAATAACCAAAATGAAACAGCCATGAATGGACGGGTAGACAGACAATATCATACACCTCACCTAAAAACTATGGTTATCTTTCTCTACATATTCAATAATGAAACATTCAAACAGATGATGATACCATATTAGAAAAAGTGAAAATCTGAGAGGGAACTGCATTCTGCAGCTCTACAAGTGAATACAGCAGCAAAATTTCAATCATTGAAAGCTTCAATCACATCAAGAAAGACAACACAATTCAATAAGGTCCCTAGCCTGTGTAAAATCAATTGCACACCTCCACCTTTATTCCTTATGGTGTTTGATTTCCTATTTGTATAGCTGCATAATTCTGTTACAGGGTTGCAACCCCTTCAGCACATAATTAAAGAAAACATCCACATGAAAAGTCATATTAATCCCATGCCACATATGGGTTTGATCCATATAGATGTATCCAGCATACTAATTCACAAAAGGGTGCCTATCAATGCAAAACCAGGAGGAACAGGAGTAACTTATGGAAATTGGCAGTCAACAAATAAAGGATATGGTAAACCTATGTACAAGGGAAATAGTTGATGTGTCACAAACTCTACACCCGCATATGTACCTAAAGTTCAAATATAAATGCTTGGCGTCTCATTCAAGATTACTCAGTTGAATTAGCTTCAAGCCCTTTTTCCCCCTTGTGAAATAGCTAATTATTTCTTCAAAAAGCCCTGTTTGCTAGGGAATTGTGAACTAAAAAAGTGAAAAAGATAGAGAGGGGGCGAGAGCGAGAATCTTTCTTTCTGTTTGGGATTCACTAAAGGAATAAAAGATGAGGAAGATGCTTCCAAATTGGGGAGAAACATAGAGAAAACCAGGGAGGCATTAATATCTTTTCATACTGTCAGTTTAGCCCCCAGAACGTTATGGAAAGATACTTAATTAATTCTTGAGTCCAAAATCATCATTTAATCCTGCCAAAAAACCCAAACCGTTATCCACTTTTATCTTTTTGAACTACTCTCCTAACTTAACTGACATTTTTCTATTTCATCCTTCTTTATTCCCTCTAGACTAAAAGATAATTTCATCTTGAACTTGTTTTCCACATAGAACACATTAATTTAATTTCAAAATCAGAGTGACCAGCTATGCAGATGAGAAAGATGTTATTAAGACCTAAGACAACACCAGAACAGACATTAGAAGATGAGATGCTAACAAGATAACATCACCTACCTACACCTCTAACAAGGAAAAGAGAGCCAAGGTATAACCCTCAACATATGTGATATTAAACTGCAATTTTTCACTGATATCAAACTTCAATCTTGTCTGTCTGCTCCTAAATTTTCCAAAACAATATCTCCAGCATATTCAATGAAATAAGACTCTTAGATAAACGTGCCTTGCAAATGTAAAAGGCCCACAGACATCAAGCTAACTACCTTAAGTTTCATCCATGCACATAGTTTACGATGTTATTTGGTTCAAGGTATAATGGACAGCCAATTACTCTGAAACATATCCTTTCCCTGCCATATAGTCTGGTAACCATTACTAGCAAGGGAAGCTTGAAGATGGGACTATTCCCAAGTCAATTGTCAGTGGATGGAGAAAAGAAAGATTCTTTCCACATTTTCTTCCCTCCCTCACAAGTTATCTCACAAATTTACCAGATAGTTTCACAGTAAGCTAGTATTTTGTTGCAACTCAGGCTTAATCCAGAAAGGTAGGCCTTCCATTCTCCACTCTGTCAGCAGTAGCATGTTCCCTAAATGTCATACACAATTATTCAAAGGCTTGATAATTTCCTTTATATTTTAGGGTTGTGTTTAGATTTAGGAACAATTCTCTTTTTTAACTGTAAGGGCTTCCAGTTGTAGTTTATTTGTGAATCGAATAGATAGTTCATGTCAAAGGACTGGAGCAAAGGAGGATGGCAAATTGGAGGACTTGCTAATATTGTAGCCTGCCAATCAAATTCAGTAAATGAGAAGCAGAAAGAAGAAAGTGGAGATCATAGAAGCACTTCAAATGGTTATGCCAACAATACAAACAAATCAGTTAGCGTACTTATAAGACATGGGACCCCATAGTACTTATCCTTCTTTTATGGAAAAAGCAAAAAGAAACCAACGGCAAAGCTGAGTGACATGAAAATTTCAGAAGGCTATGCCATTCCATGCAAATCCAACTTCCTCCTATGGAAAAACAGAAAATGCATTTGAGCACGGCCTATAAAAGGCATTCTATTGAGCTCTTTTTCTATTTGACAATACATACACTCCAAGAAGAGCACATTCAATAAAGTTCCATAGTGAACTTTTGGAAATCTTCTCTACTCACTACAATTTTCAACAACAGATTTTTCTGCCCTACTATCTTGACCATATACTCATGACCTTTTCCTTAAAACTCCTACAGAAACAGATAAGCAACAACATGGAACCAATGTAACTCCTATAACATCTAAATGAAGGTGCGGTAACAGAAAACAAGTTTAAACGCGAGGTGCATTAAGCACAACAGTGAAAATAAAAGAAGCACTATAACAAGCGACTATGCTAAAAGCACCAGATTAAAATTCATACCAACTCAAATAATGTTATTATCATTTTATCCAGCAGTAGGACAATAAACAGACCTTTAAATGTGCATTGTGCCGCTTCCCTTCCTTCCAACGCCTAATTTGCCCATCCTTCATAACTCTAAATCTTCCCTTAAATGACCTGAGAGATAAAATTTACCAAAATCATTAGATGTTTGCAAATAGTAAATACAGACCACTAAAAACGAATTTCTTTGCATGTGATCAAGGGATTTACATACGAATAACATTTCATTTTGATTTTCTTGACTTTGGAAGTGATTGGAGTCAATGGTTGCCTACTCTTTAACTTTCTTTTCCTCTGTTTTGCAGTAATATGCCTCACTTGAAAAAACTGCAGATGACAACAATCAAAACAAATGACATTAGAACTTACTGATAATAAAGAACAGACCAATAAAAAAAAAAGACACAGAACAATCTCCCAATACCAATAAAGTTAACTTCTAAGTCAGTTAACCCATCCTAGATTCTCTAATCAATCCTTCAAACCAAGATATTAATCAATTTCAACAAATAATCTTACCAGCTATATTTTCTTGTTAAACCATAAGACCACACAGCAGCCAATAAAATTTCAACAGTTGAATAAATTCAATATTAAATTGCAACAAACCGAAAAAAAGTAACATAAATTTCCAACAACCATATCTCCCTCGATTTTGAGTTCAAAACGTAATCCATATTTAAAAGCAACAAAAAAAAGGCCGTAAAGACCCCAAAAAACAAAGCAATCATTTTTTAGTTCAAATTTGCTACAAAACTCGTTGGCCATCACAAAATTTAAAAAGCTAAATTTGTAATTAAAAAAATGCTCTTACTAGCCCAAAAAGAAATGAAACGTGAGAACAAAATCAGAAAAAGGGTTCTGAAATTTACTTACAGAAAGAGGGAGATGAGAGGGATTGGAGTTTGAGGGGTGAGGAACTTGAGGGACATTTTGAAGGGACTTAAAGCTGGGAAAAATTGGAAATTGGGCAGTGGATTTGTTGAGTAAATTAGGAGAAATGTGGAGGGTCCGTATGGAAATTGAGGTGGGATTTCGGGGCTTTGCTGAGTAATGCAGTGCCGAAGCCAGTGACCGGAGCTTTGAGCACCATCTTTGCATCGTCGTCTCTCAGGCCTCACTGTGTGCCCGTGAGTGTCTTCTACTGTGTGTTTTTCTTGGGGCTTTCTGCTGGGGTTTTGTTGTTGAATTGGGGGTTTCTTCAATGGACCCACCTAAAACAAGTGGAGACTGGAGAGGGTAGAATGGAAAATGAAGTTTGACATTGGGGTTATTAATAAAACTTCTAAAATTTACTGAATTTACTATTTTAATAATCATTAAAAAAAAACTTTAAGTTGGCAATCATCTAAGTGGAGGAATCAAATAGCCAATTGTAATATGCTTAATTCATGCTTTGCACATAGTTTGTACCAACTTGAAGGATACTAATAATATGGCTTTGATTATAAAAAAAGATTTCCAATTTTATGTGATTAATTTGGTTTATAAACTGACAAAATATGGAAAGTTCAATTTAGCCATAGAATGTGTGGGAATAGTTTTTAATTTAAGTGATTAATGGTTTTTTTGTTGCAACAGTAATATTTCTATAATTTAATCTATCCTAATTTAAGGGGAGTGAAGCTAATGGGAATTGAATCACCGAAAGAGCCGATGGAAGTTGAATCACTATAGGAAAAAATCAATAAAAACAATCACATATAGTGTCAAATTAGTGGGAGGCAAGGATAACCTTGATCTCCCATGCCACCAAGACTTAATTGCTTGATGGTGATCACCAGTTCAAAGGAATGGTGGCGATTAGTGGTTTTGTTACTAGTCCACTATTAGGTTTTATTTAATTGAGAATCAAAAGTTTGAGTCAATTTTTAGGTTTCATAAAGATGTCTAAATATTAAATAGAATTTATAGTTTTGCAAAGATAAAATATCCTACTAACTTTTTTTGTTAATGCATTGTGATAATATGATTCTTACATCAGAAAAAACTATCAGTTATTTAGCATTGTAGAGTACCAAAGAAAAAAGAGTTAAGAATGTCATACTAAGTTGATGATTACTTTGGCATAATAGATTTAAAATTTTGGTTCCAAAAGAGTTGTATATGTACCAATTTAGAAAGAAATACTAGTAATAAATAACCTTGCATGCTAACTAAATTGTGGCTCTATTTCATCCATATAAAACTCAAGCAAATTCTTACACACTTTACCATAACTTAAGTTAAATGAGGTACTAAAAAATATAATTGACATTTGTCATCCAAAAACATCTTACTTTAAAGAGAGCGAAAAATTCTGATTAATAGAGAGAATTGATCAATGGATTTAAAGACACGTATGAGGACAAATTACACAATGCTTTATCTACTTGTTTCCAAGGTAAACGAAGAAAGCCTTTCCATAGCTCTTTTTCAAGGACTTGTTATTTGTAAACTCTTACCCCCTCCGTTCCATTTTGATAGTTTTTGTTCTTTTTTCATACAGTTTAAGAAAAAGTAGTTAATTTTGTTGGAATAATCAATTTAGGTAGTTATTTTCCTAAAATACCCTCACATTATTAGAGTACAACTTTATGGGAACTTGAATTGATAGTAAAAAAAGAATCAACTCTCATTAAATGGGGTAGGTTTATAGTAATAACAACTTACATTGAATAAGGGTATTTTAGGAAAATTAAAATACAACTAAATTGTTCAATTGAAAAATGGACTATAATTTGGGACAGACGAAAAAGAAAAACATGACTATCAAAGTGGACGGAGGGAGTAAAACATTCTTTAGTTAATTTTTATCTTATAAACAAGTTTATTTTAAATAATGATACAATATTATTTTTTTGAGTACGATTCAAAAAAAAGAATGAATAAAATATTTATTTCTAATTCGATATAATAAACACTGGTTTTTATACTCAATTTACACTGAATAACCGTTTAAAAGTATACATTTATATTTATTTCCTCCTCATGACTTCATTCTTTCAAAATATTAACACTATAATAATAAACTTGCAATTTTGACAAAAAATAATAATAAACTTGCAAAGATATTTTTATTTTAGGCCATTTCAAGTATCAAATTTAAAAAGTTATTTTACAAACAATTTTTTCCCCCAAATGCCAAGATTAATTGTCAAGTCAAATGAAGAGCTTTTTATGGTGGTCTTAGGGTTTTTTTTGGGGGGGGGGGGTTTGGTTGGGATTTAATCATCTTTAAGAAATGATTTGGCAACATTAGCAGCAAAAACTTGGGTAATTATTAATCTCAGCCATCAAATCCAATTCATAACCAACTGAAACCAAACACGTGGACATATTACCAATACAACTCTTTTGTATTAACTGCCTAATTCAGTTTCCGGGCTCACTTTCCTATCATTTCTTCAGTCATTGAGAATTTAAGACACTAATAATTAATAAACACATGAGGCCCCATTCCCCAGCAACTGGAAATTCCAACGTACGGAATATACATAGAAGTTGAAAGAAAGCGCAAAAAGGACAAAGGAAAGTACACTGCTCTAGTGGTGGCCGGTGGGACTAGACTGGTGCTGCTGGTGTTGCTTTGCAGAGGCTTTCTTTTCGAAAGAAAGAAAATCCCTACCTTCTCTTCCCCTACCATTTGGGGTCATATCTTTCAAGTAAGCTGCTTCTTTTAACTTTATAAATATGCATTTTCAGCATTTTTGCTTCAATTTCGCATCGACCCAGATCCAGAAAATGGCTTATTTTTCTGTTCTCCAAGTGTGATTTGTAGATGTTTGTAGGTAACGAAAATTTTTGGTTTGTTGGTTCTTGTTTTTGTGCTGAGATATTCAGTTTTGGGGGGCTTTTAAGGGGTTTGTTCAGAAAGTTGTAATCTTTGCTGTAGCCTGTATGATTTGCATTATTAATGTGTTGCTGTTAGAAGGTCGAAGATGAGCAAAAAGGAGGTTTTTTCTTTTTGTAACGATAACTGATGGTTAGGAGAAGATGATGGTATTGCAGTGATAGTAGATTCTGCATTTTCTTTTTTAGTTATAATTACCAATGGATATATGTCTATGTAGTTGTTAAAAATGTGACAATTTGATTAAGCTGGGAGTAATGGTGGTTCGAAATATCTATTCTTTCTGTGGTGAAATGAGTTTGATGTTGTACTTCTTGGTGCGAATGTTATTGGGTAATCAAGCAATTCTATTGTTGAGATGAATGAGGTTGAGCTTGATTGAAAAAAGGTGGAGGCTTGAAGAGCTATTTGTGTTATTTCAATCTGCAATTTTTCCTTTAATATCAGATATTTGCGCTGGAGTGGTTAGGGGTACTGGGTAGCATTACCATGCCATCCTTGAGTCGAGAACTGGTTTTCTTAATACTACAGTCCTTGGATGAGGAGAAGTTCAAGGAGACAGTCCACAAGTAAGTTTTGTTCATTTATTGTAAGACGAAGTCATTCATTTCTTGATTCCTGTTTCTACTGTTGTTGAAAATGAACGAGCTGATGAAATAGAATAAAGCATTTTATTTTTTCTTTTTTGTTGTCAATACGCTTGGGAGGGAGGTTTGTGAGACTGAATTACAACTGAATGTTATTCTTCTATATGATTTGGGGAACGGTGAAAGTGTGAAAAAGACTATGTACAAACTGTCACTCTTCCTAGAAAGAAAAGAAAAAGAAAAATTTGCCATTTTCTGAAGTTGGATTTAATTAACATGAAGAGTTTGTACAATACATGTTAATTGAAGGAATTTATTAAATGACTCTATTAGTTTAAAGATGAAGACTCTTGGCATGCTTGCTTCTGAGTTTATGGTGGAGTAGCATGTAATATTATTCAGGTTGGAACAAGAGTCTGGATTCTTCTTCAATATGAAATATTTTGAAGATCAAGTTCAAGCAGGAGAATGGAAAGAAGTTGAATGATACCTGAGTGGGTTCACAAAGGTTGAGGATAACCACTATTCAATGAAGATTTTCTTTGAATTACGAAAGCGAAAGTATCTTGAAGCTCTTGATAAGTAAGATTTTATGTCCGAGAGCAGGGATTTGCTGAGTTATGATAAAATCTGAGAAGTTATGATTATTCCTTACCTTACTATGCAGGAATGACAGAGCAAAAGCTGTTGATATTCTTGTCAAGGATCTTAAGGGGTTTGCCTCTTTCAATGAAGATCTCTTCAAGGAGACTACCTAGTTATTAACTCTTGAGAATTTTAGGTAATCAGATTCAGCATTTGAGCCATACAATACTTTCAGTTTCTTTGTGCCTTTTGAATTATCTTGTGGCATTGTTCTAGGCAGAATGAGCAGCTTTCCAAATATGGGGACACTAAGTCTGCACGAAACGTTATGCTGGTTGAACTGAAAAAGCTCATAGAAGCAAATCCATTGTTCTGTGATAAGCTCACATTCCAGCATTCAAAGCTTCATGATTGCGCACACTGATTAATCAGAGGTTACGCTGCTATCTATGTATCACTATCTGATTATAATTAGATGTGAATATGTAGGATACATCTTCATGTGTCCCTGTCTTGTATATTAAGTGGCATTGCTGTAAATGTTGATTTTGAATGTTAAATTACTGATTTAAGGTTTTAGGGAAGTAGACAGTATTTGTTTTTCTCATGGTTCCTGCTTTCCTTAGTAGGATATTTTCACTGAACTTTGTTTCTTTCTGCAGTCTTAATTGGCAGCATCAACTTTGTAAGAACCCCCGGCCAAATCCTGATATTAAAACCCTTTTCACTGACCATACTTGTTTGTCTAGTAATGGAGCTTGTGCTCCCCCACCTTCTAATAGTCTCCTTGCTGGACCTGTACCTAAACCTGGGACTTTTCTGCCTCTTGGAGCCCATGGCGTAAGTTAATGATCTTCTTTATATCCAAAATTGGCTTATGCCTTTTGTTTACCTTGTCACTATTCCAAACTGTCTTCCTGCAGCGATTCCAACGAGTTGTTTCACCTTCTCCAAGTGCCATTGCGGGGTGGATGTCTAGTGCTAACCATTCTGTACCGCATGCTGCTGTTGTAGCAGGTCCTCCAGCTATTGTTCAGGCACCTGGTGCAGGTCAGTTTTCAAATTATAACTGCTGGTACTGGATGATGTTTTGGGTTAATAGACTATGATTACCTCATGCAATGTTTTTAGCCACCGTTCTTAAACATCCGAGGACTCCACCTTGTGCTTCAGCAATGGACTATCAAACTGCTGATTCAGAGCATTTAATG